GAAATATTACGGTGCCGTCAAATTACATTACAGTGTTTATTGCCGTCATCTTAGTTGACATCTTGCAATATTTACATGGCAACGTTTTTGGCAACGTAAAGTTGCGACCGCTTTTTTATGTTACCGCTTTCGAGGAAACCAAAGCTTAACATATGTATCAACAAAAACAACATATGTATCAAGATATAAACTTTATCCTGTGGAGACGGGCAGTAAGGGAAGACCCCTACCATTACTAATAAAGTGAAAAGAGTGATGAATAATGTAAATACGATTCTTAACATCCCCACCAAGTTTCATGTAAAAATTCGTAATAGTTTTGAGAAAACACCCAAAAACCGATTTGATGGAAAGCTAGAAGGATTTCATATATGGTTTGATGCATACCGTTATTTTTTTCGCTCTAGTAGCCGGCGGGTTAGTCTTGTCCCATATCTTTTTTGTATTTCACCAACCTATTAAGATATGGTTTAATATGGGAAATGTTTCGTGCAGTGAAGGTGCAAGTGCAAAGTCGGTGGTAAGTGAAACGGTGTGGCAGCATTTAATAAAGTGACAACTTACAGGTGCCCCAAATTTGCTTAATTTGCAAATAGGAGTCCTTTATTTTGTATTCGTCATGTTTGCATTGGAATGAAAATATACAAGTTTTCAGTGAATTTACGTCCGCAGTTTTTTCCATAGTTTTCTCGATATATAAAGTTATATCAAAGCAAGTTGACAACATGTCGCGCCAGATGAATGGTGGGAACATGCAGCACAATGAGATAAATATCGATCAGCCACAGGAATTGTGTTTCGAGAAATGTACTGCCATATCGTTGACATAATCTAGGTACTTTTGTTTTATCATTTCGTATATTTCACTCTAGGCCCAGAAAGCAGTGAGGAGCAACACAAACGGTTGGAAATCGAACGTTTGCTACAGGAACATAAGAACTGCATACCATTTCAAAAGCTTCAGGAGTTAGCACGTTCAGACCACGGACTCGTAACTGATGAGCTCCGGCGATTGTTATGGCCACAATTGGCTGGTGTGGATACATCAAATTTAGGTCCTGCACCAAGTCTCAGTGATTTACAAACTCATCCCGAATACCAACAAGTGGTGCTCGATGTAAATAGGTCGCTTAAGCGTTTCCCGCCTGGCATTCCATATGAGCAACGTATAGCATTACAAGACCAACTGACTGTTTTAATATTGCGAGTGATAAAAAAATACCCAAACTTGCGTTATTATCAAGGTTATCACGATGTAGCGGTGACGTTCTTATTGGTCGTTGGCGAAGAGGTAGCATTTGCGGTTATGGAAGAGTTATCAACAAACCACTTTTCTGAGTGTATGCAGGAAACAATGGATGCTACGCAAAAACGTCTCATGTTTATATGGCCACTAGTAGATTTCGAAAATCCGCAACTATTTCAGTTTCTACAAGAATCTGCTGTAGGTACACTATTCGCGTTGCCCTGGTATTTAACTTGGTTTGGACATAGTTTGAATTCGTATAAAGATGTGGTGCGACTATATGACTATTTCTTGGCATCCCCCATTTACATGCCTATATTCGTGACTGCTGCCATAATATTACATCGAGCTGAAGAAATATTGAAGGTCGACTGTGACATGGCTTCAGTTCACTGCCTTCTGTCCAAGGTAATACCTAAAATTTAATTTTACGTTATAGGATATGGCATACATTGCAACTCGACTCAAAACGGGTTTTA